TGTGTGTGTCTATTTTCTCATACCGCATAATTCGCCATGTCAGGCACATACATTCACGTTCCACATGCGTATATGAAGACATGATGAGCACTATGCTAATGCCATCATATCTGCGTCCCCGCAATTCTTGGTTCTCGTCACACTTGTTCACAATCCTCGAAAATGAATGCCACATGTTCCGTCCGATGTGCTAACTATTGGCTCTGCTATCGTGGGATGTGTCGTATTTTCTTGCATTCATAAAAGCTTTATATGATTCTGAGCTTCGCTAGACTTTGCAGACTTCTCTCCCATCAAGGTAAACTCAACCTCTCGCTTCTGGCGTAAACCCAACTCGATGTGATGCTTTGATGAGAATGCCGATTAATGGCAGCGTCTTGTAGGCGCCAATTATTGACGTGGCGTCTCGGCGTGTATATTACTATCTAGATCTGTATTACTATCACTTTCCTCTCGTCCCGATCAGAATTATTATTCACCTCATCGAAATAACCTGGCCCTCAGTTCAGCATAATTCTGATCAGGCTCTCAAATCTGGGCAGTCACTCCTAAAAGCGATGTAGTGATCGGCGATGAGCCGATGGATTTGGTGCCAATTTAACTTTCGCTTGCAAGCCAATTCATTCTGCTGTTTTCGTTCAGCTTCGCATGTCTATATGGTGCATGTGTACACCCCGGGCATCCTTTAAGGAACGAAGAGGCCTTATTTCTCTCACCACCAATGCCTAACTTATCGAAATCATTCATCGCGCATTTTGAATGGGTTTACTAGCTCCCCGGACGACTGTTGCGATGCCAATTGTTTTCCTCCCTTCAATGGCAGTTCGATTTGTCCACATTCTGTCAGGAGTTCCGGACGCATGTTAACTATTCAAGTCAGCTACTGGCGGCATCAACAATTTTGTTAATGGTCTCTAAAAGGATTACCTACCTACAAATATTTATATTCAAGCACTGAGGTTCTACAGTTTTTTTTAGGATTTACTTGATCTCCTGTAGCATGTGCAATTATAGATGCACGCATATTTATTTATATTCATGATAATTCTGCTCTAGGAACTAGTTAGGCGGATTGTTGAGCTTACTTCTATTTCGAGTGAAAGTTTTTGGTGAAGAGATTCGAAGGTCGATTCCACCAGAAGACGATTGCGGATTCCCTTGACCTGCTGTCGATTGGCTTTACTGGAACTTAGAACTAGCCAAATCATCGGAAACCGAGGGAGGATTGCCGCGTGGTAAGACTGTTGTATTGTGCAAAGAAGTCCTCGGCTCATCGTCCTGCAACCCCGATGGAACTGTGCTAAGCTTTCGTCTGTACTGTGACAAACATCATCAGAGCAGGTATCCATACTTCAAAAATAGAGCAAAAAATATACTACGTAGTATATGCGAAGAAAAGTTTGGTTTCGAAGAATCTCTTGTTTCATGATTGCTGAGCCTACTTCCATTTTGAGTGAAATTGTTTGGTGAAGAGATTCAAAAGTCGATTCCATCAGAAGACGAAGGCGGAATTCTCTTGGCCAGCTGTCGATTTGCTTTACTGGAATATTCTTGTTAAAACTGTTTTAGAGGTAATCTCCTTCGATTCAGGTGAAAACGTGCGAAGCTTTTGTCCGTCATCATCAGGGCAGGGCATCATCCTTACAACCAACTTCAAGCTGAGTCAAGAAAACTTGCCGGCTCATCCCTAAAAAGCTGTATCTATACTCTATAACTGACCTCTTTGATGAGGTATAAAGTGATCTGGTTAGTTCCAATCATCTGTCAACCACGAAACATATGGGTGTGTCTGTATCTGTATGTGTATGTGCCTGTATGTTCGCATATGTACGAAACCAGCAGTGATGGTTGAAAGTAATTAGAACAGCAAAAGTAACGTTCGTTTTTGGCCATCAAGGTTTGATGACCATTATCATCCACTCTCTTTATATATGTTTTAACCATCACTCCGATTGCGCAAGGTCGGACACACGTTTGGCTTTGTTGATGAACATTTTTTTGTCTTCATGTAAGGGGGAAATAGGGGGCCTAAAGTATAGAAAGTGACAGTGATTAGAACCATGAAAAGACTAGTTGTGGTGCGATCCACCTTCGAATCTCTTCACCAAACACTTACACTCCAAATGGAAGTAAGATCAACAAAAATATACTAAAAGTTATTTGACCTTGTTTCGCAACTTAGTCACATTGGTAGGAAGACTTAGAGGAAAGTACCTAGTCCGGAGTCCATTGTATGCATGATTATTTCCAA